CGGTCAGCACAGCTCTGTAAGACGACCGAAGCCACGCCCGGAACAACACACGTGCGGGCGGTGACCCGAGAACGACCCCGAACCCTCAGCTGCTGCTGTGGAAAGCGGCCCCTTCTCCCGCCCTTCTAGGCCTCCAGGACTTGCTCCCAACCAAGGAAGCAAACCGGCGCCTGCCCAGCAAAATCCCGCCCCCTGTGGTGATCGGCTTTGGACTTCCGGCTTCCGGGTCGGTTTTCCGGGCGGCTCATCCTCAAACGAGCCTTCCTGTCGGAGAGGCCCATAGGATTCTGGGGGCTGGCGCCGCGCCTGCCTAGCGAGTGTAAGGTCCTGAGTTCGATCCCCGGTACCAAAAAAAAAAGAGAATTCTGGGGGTTGTGGTTATGCTTCATCCAGAGAACGTCTGTACTGACTAGAGCTCGGGAAGCGGAACTTTTAGAACGAGAATCATCCAATCTCCAGCTTACGCCGCGGTGACGTCTCCGTAGACTTTCACGGAGTCAGCTCTCCGGAGTGGACTGTGCGCCCCCTAGAGCCTGGAGTAGCCTCCGGGTGGTCTGGCTGCGGGCGGAGCTCAGGTGAACACCTGAGGGCACCGCGAGGCCCTGACCAGGGGTCCCCTTTGCAGGTGGCGTAATAAAACCCCTGATGAACTCCGGGAAGACGGGGCCAGGGGCGCTGGGGCGGGGGGAAGGAGGAGGACTGAGCGTGCGCCACGATTGGCACAGAGTGGCTGCCGTTATGAAGGAGGGATGTGTTTCACTGGTCCTGTGGTAAGGGTAAAAACATGCATGTAGTGATGCACGACAGCACACGCAATGCCAGTGAAGTCCCTCCTCAACTGTTTCTGAAAAAAAACACGCTTTATTGGGTGGACAGGTGACCCGACTCACAGGCAGACCTGATTCACAGTTCATTGTGAATTGAACAGAAGTAGGCAAAGGTGCTGGAAGGTCTCTGGCCCATCCTAACCTCCAGGAAGGACAGCGCTAGATTCTGTCAGAGCCTGCACCCGACCCAGCCAGGCCTGAGGTGGCTGTGCCCCATTTCTTGCAGCCTGATTGGAGCAGCTCAGCCCTTCATAGTCAGACTGAATTCTGAAAGGTAGCCAAGAGGAACACCCTGGTTTCCGGGGAGCTAGGGTAACAAGAACCTGCCCGATACCAGTGTGCCAGGTGCTGCCAAACGGGAAGAGGCAGCGCAGACCCTGCTGGACACAGGAACCTTTCAGCTCTCCGGCTATTTATAGCTAGGGCCTGGGCTGCTGACCTGGGACATTCCCCTGCTGCCACCCAGTGCTGGAGCGAGGCCAGTGTAACGCGCACTCCTCTCCCCCTCCTGTTCTTCCCTCACCACCGAGGGCAGGGTGGTTATTTTCTTCCTCCTTGAATTTCCTGGCTCCTGTTGTTCTGATGGTCAGGACCTCATTAGAAGACCCTCCTTCAGGAAGGAGGAGCTGGCTCCGGAATATGAGCACCCACCAACGTGGGACCATTATCTGGCCCCAGGCCTTGATGCCAGGTGCTGGTTAGCTGTGGTGGCTGCTCAGAAGAAAGAGGTACAGGGCTGGGGAGGAGGCAGTAGGGCCAGGGTGGGCTCTGGGGAGGTAAACAGCAGGAGGGGCCCAGCTATATGTACTTCTTCCAGTTAGAGCTCCGAACAGGGAGGCTGGACGAATACAAAGGTCACAGGGACCAAGCCATGTGAACTTGCTACGCAAAGGCGTCGCTGTCAGCAGATTAAGTTTCTGCTCCCCAAAGAGGCTGCTGGCAGGCAGGGCAAGGGAAGACTTGGAAAGGTCACGCAGGGTGGGGAGGAGTTGGCAAAGATGTAGGGTCCAGCAAGTCCCTGGGGAGAATAGCAAACCCCAGGGGCAGAGATGCCAGCAGGGAGCTACTTTTATGCCAGGGTGGCCTGAGGGAAGAGGAAAAGGGACAACCCCAGGTTTCTGAAGAGGAAAATGTTGCTAGGAGAAGCTAGGAGGGGATGCTTCAGATCTTTGTGTTTTGTTAACAAATGCTGAGATCCACTGATGCTGTGTGGGGCCTGGCACCAGTCAGGAAGGGGGTTCTGGGGCTGTGTCAGCTAAAATACTCAGATCCCTCCTCGGCAGCCCTGGCCTCGTCCCTCCTATGGCTAAGGTACCTTTGGGTTTCCTGGTTGTGCAATCCTGCAACTGGCAGCCCTTGTCCTAGTGTCCCCTCCTCCCACCTCCCCCACACACACCCTGAGAGCAGGCAGCACTGGGCTTGATTCTGCCCTTCCCTGGGACAGGGAGAAAGCTCTGCATCTGGAGAGAGAGGGCAGCTCCATTTCCAGCAAGAAGCTGCAGGCCTCCCAGCAGTTCAGACCTCCAGGTGTGGGGCAGAGCTGTAGCCTCTGCCGCCTCCCGTCCTCCAATGAAAAGCTGAGACGGCTGCTTGTTGAGGAGTTCTGGAGATCCCGGTGACCGAACTGCTGCAAGCGTCTGCTTGTGTCCGCTGGGTAGAAGAGCTGCCTATCCTGGGCCCTGGCCCACTCACATGTGTTCTGGATGGTTCTGCAGGCAGCGGATGAATTCATCCACCGGCTGGCCCTCGTAGCACACCTTGTACACAGCCGTGAACAGCGGGAACCTAGAAAGGAGGGCGATACCCAGCTTAGTCTCCTGCTCTTGGTCCATTCTGTACCCCCTAGTCCTCAGCTACCTCCTCACCCTCACTGTTACCCCAGCCCCGCGCATCACTATGGAGCTCAGGCAGACTCTGGCTCTCAATTGCAGAGAATTCAAATTCCCCATCACCGAGTGTAGGGTCAGGTTGCTAGCTGCCCTGCGCCCTGTCATGTTGAACTTCCCTAAGTGATCCCCTGATTGCAAGTTTTGTTTTGTTTTTCCCAACTGGGTACCCCATTTACCCTTTTGAGCCTCAGAATCATCGACATCACAAAGCAGTGGAGATAAGACTTATCGTGAAGACGTGTATGCATTATGTGAAAGTGTCAGTAAGTGCCAGTTTCCTTTGCCATCCTTGCCCAGGCTCCCTTAATCCAGAGCTGTGAGCTGCTTTTCTGAACCTGTTTCACACTCTTCTAGGATTCTTTCCCAGGACAACAGAGTTCAGATGTGCTCTGCTCAGCCCACCCATCCCACACTGTACTCCCTAGAAAGGAGACATGAAAGCAGAGCCATCCTCCTCAGTGCCCAAGACAGGGGACAGGGGAAAGAAGGGCTGGCGTTAGCGGGACACACGAAGAGGTAGGACAGTCAGACAAGCTAACGCTCCCCCAGAGCTCCCACCCCCAGGGAAAGGACAAGTTGCCAGGCATGGCAGCACATATCTATAATCTCAGCACTTGAGAAGCTGAGGCAGGAGAGTCACCACGAGTTCAAGGCCAGCCTCGGCTAAGTAGTGAGTTCAAGACCACCCTGAACTACATAGCAAGAGACTGTCTCAGAAAACCAGAAAAAAAAAAAAAAGAAGGAAAGAAAAGGACAAGGAGAAGACAGGGAGGCTCTGCAACAGGGTCCAGGCCATGCAGCATAAAGAGCACTGTTTGAGAGCGAGCCTAAGGCCATGAACTGGCTGAGGAAACTGAGTGATCCTGCCGTTTCAAACTGTGAATGTGATGTTACAGTTCCCTCTCCACCCACTTTACAGATCGTGTAGCGTTCAGGAAGATGGTGAATGGGGACCACATCTGGCCTGAGGCTCCCTCACCCCTGGGACTGAGGCCGACACTCACTTGTCTACCAGGCCCTTGTGCTGAAGGATACTGTGTAGCTCCCGGGCTGTCTGGGGCCCCTGAAGCTTCTGCCCATTCAGCATCTCTTTCTCCAGCTGCTCAATAGACTGTAAAGAAAAGAGGACATGTGGATGGACATATGAGAGCAGGGTTGTCACATGAACTGCAAAGTCTGGGCTCTTGGAAGGAAAGAAAAGTGGGAAGGCTCATAATAGTATCTGTGCTGAAGACCTGCCTCCTGCTAAGCACCTCTGCCACGGCGCCCACGGGGCCCACCCTCCGTCCTCCCTGCACCCCATTCCCACCTTTCCAGTGCGGGCGAAGGCCTCGGCCACCTTGCGGTTCCTCCCTCCGTAGCAGGTAGTGATGAGATCAGCGACACCACAGCTCTCCAAGAAGGTGGCAGAGGACACAGGACCACGGCAGAAGAGCTTGGCGAAGGCGATCATCTCCATGAGCCCCAGCCGTATCACCGCCGCCTTGGTGTTGTCACCAAAGCCCAAGCCATCGCAGAAGCCAGCCCCCACGGCCACTATATTCTTTGGGAAGTAGAGGGCGTGGGTGAGGAAGGACCCCCTCCAGCAGCCCCACCAGAGCCCTCCGCACCTGCCTCTGCCCTCACGTCAAGGTATGCATGCTAAATGAGGGAAATGCAGTGGATGTGCTCCTAAACTACATCCACCTCTAGGTTTTCCCACCCTCTGCACCCTCTTCCTTAGGTCCCACCCCGTAATCCATCCCTGAGGACATTCTCTGAGAGCCACTTTTCTTCTCAACTGGTTCTGCCATCCATGACTATTTCATTCTGTTCTGTAGTTCTGGCCATGAGCCTTTCTGGGTGTCACCTTGTCTCCCATTAATCTTGGCATCTCCTTTTGCCCTTGGGCCCCCCACCCCGAGCCAGGGACAGGGATTCCCACAAGGAGCAGGAGACGGAGAGGGACAAGGGTTCACTGCCTGACAGTGAAGGACACTCTAGTTCCTCTTGCCTGAGTGCCCGATCCTTGCTTCTGAGGTTCTTTGGTGAGCGGCTGCCCAAGAGTGAGGGCTGGGCTATCCGCACCTTGCAGAGATGAGCCAAGCCTTCCCCTGGGGCCTTACCTTCAACCTATAGCTGCCCCTGTGCCCCTCTCACCTTTAAGGCCCCACAGATCTCTACTGTGTCCACCTCCTGCACCACTGTGATCCGGAAATTGGAAGTCTGCATCAGATGCTTCAGAAGCTGTCCCTGAGCCAGGTCCTTGCAGCCTTAAGTGGAGAACAGGCAAGGCTTTCGGGAGGGACCTTTTTTTTTGTTGGGTTTTTTTTTTTTTTTATGACAGGGTCTCACTGTGTTGTTCAGGCTGGTTTCAAATCCTGGGCGCTAGCCATGCTCCTGCCTCAGCCTCCTGAGTAGCTGGGACCACAGGCATGTGCCACTGTGCCTGTCAAAGGGTGGGGACTCGTGACTGCTCTTCCCACATCTGTCTAAGCAGGACCTGCAGCCCCTTCCTTGGGGGATGCCCCAACCCTCCCTCACCTCTGACCCTTCTTCCTCTCCCTGCCTGGTGGAAGAAGGTGGCACAGGGGCTGGCGAAGAGTTTGGGGAGGGGAAGCAACTAGAGCTTGTGGTGCATACGGGGTGCTCTCACCAATAGTGGTCTCACAGAACTTCTCATCAGCCACCTCGCTGGCAATGTTGGCCCCCATCAGCACACTCATGGGGATACCAAGGCGCTCCCCAATCACTTCAGAGATGAGCTTCAGCCCATTGGGGCCCTCGTCTACCCCCTGGGCACAGGATGGAGCTCAGATCAGCTGCTCCTTATGCCCAGCTGAGGGCATCCCACCCAGAAATCCTGCCCTTTCCAAATCCACTGTTCATCAGTTCCCCTCCCCAAAGATACTATGCCATTCCAACACAGCCACAGCTGGCTGTGAGGAGGGTAGAGAGCAAGGAAAAAGCAAGCCATGGGAAGACTCTCCTTCTCCATACCCTACCAAACCTCTCTGGGGCCTCAAATCCCCTCTGAATCCCTGAACAACCCCCTCCTGACTGCCTTACATCAACCTCCTGCGTCACAGTCCCAGACCAGCATCCCTCTCATGGCCCTCACACCAGCCCTTCTCGTATCCCTGAGGCACTACTTTTAAGTCTCCCAACTCCTCTCAGGCATCTGCCTCCAAACCACTTTCTTATTTACTTCCCAACCAACCTCCAGCTCATGGTCCCAGGCATGCGACCCCCTCAGTCCTCTCCAAAGCCAACTTCTGTCCTTTCTGGGAACTCGGTCTCTTCCTACCATTTTCTATTCTGCTTGCTTTCCCCACCCCATCCCCACAACAGTTAGCTGCACTCTGTTCCCATCCACATGAAGGTGTCCCTAGCACCTTAATAAGAGACATGCCGATGGCGTTGGCCTTTAGGCGACCCTTCAGCTGGTCACAGATCTTGCTGATGAACTGATGGGGCACCACAAAGATCAGGATGTCAGCCTCTGCGGCAGCCTGGACCAAGTCTGGGACAGCCACCTGTGGGACGAGCAGGTGCTTAAGGGCTGGGTGGACCTCTCCTAGCCCCTAGGCAACTCATTCGAGAAATCTAGGAGGTAAAGAGGAGGGCACAAGAAAAGGGTGTTAGGGACCCAATCTGGGAAGACTAAACTTGGAGGAACAAGTCCTCCGACTCCCTGCCCCTGCCACCATTGCCCCTGCTTTAGCTGTCCTGGGCTCTTGAGAACTCCTGGAGCCCTTTGCCAGCACACTGCTAGCCTTTGGCTGGGGGACAGCAAGGGAGGCCAAAGGCTGCCAGGACTTGGCAGGAGGAAGAAGCTGAGTAAGATTTCATCACATCGCTCCTCAGAAGGCCCCAACTGGGAAGGGAGAGCCCCAACCTTCCTGCTCTCTTCCCTGCTTCCCCTCTCCAGATAGGGAGAGAACCGCACGGATTGGACCAAAGACCTGAAGTCCAAGGAGCAGCCTCCAAGTCTGCTAATAGCCCAGTGAATGAATAATGGGGTTAGAGCCTGTGGCAGGAACTACTTGGACCCCAAGTCTGGGAGCCTGACAACCAGAAATCTTTGCCATGGAGACCAACTTCCTTGGCCTCTCCCCCTTGCTTCCCAGCTGGGGAGCCTGGAAGTGTGTGGGGGGGAGGTGCTCAGGTTCTCCTCAGTCCTACAAAGTGCCTAGGAGAGCCTGAAGGAGGGCGTCCGTGTCCACAGCAACCCTCTCGAGGTGCTTCCCAAGTCCAGCTGGCACCTCAAGTGGCCGCTTTCAGCAGCCTTGAGTGCCGACTCCTGGACTTCCCTCCCTTGCTTCCTTCCCTCTTTAAGACCCTTCCTTCCTTGCGGGGTTTTGGGGCTTACCACATTCGGGGGCAGCTTGTGCCCTGGCAGGTATTTGACATTCTCATGCTGTGTGTTGATGATCTCTGTCAGCTTTCTACCCCCAACGTCTTCCTCAAATACCCACATGGTTATCCGTGGGTCAAAATGTGCCATCTGGACTGCATTGCCACCCACAATCTTGGCAATGGCTGAGCCCCTGGCAGGAGGGGAACACAAGAGAGTGCGCGAGTGTGGTGTGAGGGAGGGAATAGTGGCAGGGTTTCGGGTAGTCTCATCCCAGGACTTGACAGCACCCCACCAGATTATTTACTTTCCATTTTTGTGGTCATCTCCACCCCTCTTCCAAGTGTGCCCCCATGACCTGGCAAGAGAAAGGATCCTTCATTCTACCTCACACTTGGCTGCTGAAGAAGGCCAGCCTTCTGATCCCAACCCCCAAGCCCGAAGAGCCTTTCAGATAGGGAAAGGAACACTCTGGTTGCCTCCCTATGGCGAGTAGGTGCCACTGCCCAGGAAGGCACAGGGCTGAGGTCTGGGCACTGTGTCCTGTGCGCATTTCCTGCCCATGCTCTGCCTCCTGCCCTCCGGCTTCCCTCCCAGCCCCTCTGTGCACGGGGAAGCTGTCCTCCTCCATGCCCCTTCACAGAGCTGCTTACCAGTTGCCAGAGCCCACAATGCAGACTTTCTTGGCAGCCATGGTGCCGCTTCTCTCCCGAGCTGCTGGTGCCGGCTTGGAGCATTTAACTCCACCACACGTGGGTACAGCCAAGCCCCGCCTCCAGGGGTGGCTGGGAGGCTGGCGCCCAGGGAGAGTGTCTGGCAGAGCCAGGGAAAGGGGAGAAAAGGGGAGAGACAGGTGGGAACGGGAACGGGGCAGAGGCCAGGCTGTCTTTTACTCAGGTTTGCAGCTGAGGGTGCTGGCGAGCTGCTTCTCTTGGCCCCAGTCATTTCCTACCCCTCCTTGCAATGGTCTCATTTTGAGTTCTGCCAAGAAATAGCCCCAGATAAGAAGCAAATAACTGGTCCCCATCAATGCCCTTTGATCCCCAGCACTGGGATAAATTGTGTCTAGCCTACGAACCCTAGTAGCAGGTATGAGATTAACCCATCCCCAACCCTACCCCGAGGCAATGGGGGTGGAAACTTGGGGTCCTCTACTACTGCTCTCCCCGAGTTGACTCAAACTTGCCTCAGCCTCCCTCAAGGATAAAATTACAGGTGTGCTCCACAACGCTGTTTCCTTTTCAGAGGTAAGAATCACCCCCACCCTCCCCCAGCAGTTACCCGCCTTCGGCTGCTCATTTGTCCTCCCCTGGCCCCACACTAGCTTTCACTGCACCTGCTGGCCTGTGGGTGAGGGGATGGGCAGGCATGGGCTGCTTCTAAGGGGAAGGCCACACAGAAGGCAGCCCGGCCCACATCTGACACCCCAGGAGACACACAAGACAAAGGTCATCTTTGTCACCACAGAAGCCGTCTCAAGGACTTCATCCATGGGCCTCTCTGTGCCTCACTCCCCACTTGCATGTCTTATAGAAAGGAAAGGGAAAGGTCAGTCCAAGGGCTCTGATGCCACGAGGCCCACAGTTCTTCTGGGCTGACGGACAGAAGAGGCAGTGGCCAAAGTTCCCTTTAGTTCCTTCTCTTGGACTTCCACACTACTACTTGAAGAGCTCCCTCGGGTTAACAGCTGGTCTCTAAAGTCAAAACGGGGACCAGGGCCTGGCAGCTATTCCCAAAACTCATATAGCTGTGTCGTCCTGAGCTTTATGGTCTCAGAAGCCATGAGTAAGCTTAGGTGTGTGACTCTGAGGGAAGAGACCAGCAGGCACACATTCAGAATTTCAGGATCTCCACTGTCAACAGCCTTCTGTTTGACTAAGAGGAGGAGGAGCTCTGGTTTCCAGGCTTGTCTCAAGTGGAAAAAAGAGGCTTTTACCCTCCAATGGCCTGCACCTTGGCCTAGAGGGCAGACAGCACCAGCACTGCCTGCTCACATGCTGACCTTCTGGTCTGGCAGGCTGCTGAGTGGGTGTCACCACCCTCTGGGTCACCACTGGCCAGCACCAGTAATGCGCACTGGGTCACAGGAGAGTCTGGGTGCAACAGTAGGAAGAGAAGTGGGGAGGAGGTCAAGACTGGAGATGATTTCGTAAAGTCCAAGGACTGCCCTGGAAAAGCCCTCCATATTCTCCTATGGCCAGAGTATCCATTAAGGAGAAGGTCCACGAAATCAGTAGTTCATTGTTCTTTAGAACAAAGTTAAGCCTTACACAGAGCTTGCCTGCCACAGCCCACTCCTTTATTGCACTGGTACTGAGATGAGGCACCAGTGCCAGGCTGCCAGCTGGGGTACTGATCATGGGAGATGGAAGAGAAAGGATATTTCTGTCCCTGGCACAGAACAGGAACCCCAGAGAATGGACATTTATACTTAACCCTCTTGGTTTTGCCTAAGTGCTTCCTTCTCTTTGCCTTTAGGTAATTTTAGCTAGGACAAAGACAAAGCACTCACTGGGGGAGGCGGGGGGAGGGCAGGGGGATGGAGGAAAAGTGAGAACCAAGACCTGTCATGTAGAGGTACAAGATCCCAATGATGAATGTTACTGTACTGTATCCCTAAAAAGTACCAATAAACTCATGAGGAAAAAAAAAAAAGCATTCACCAAGATTCAGAACTAGCTCATCACAGGGTTATCTGTACTACTAGTGCTTTTTCTGTAAGAGCAAACTGTAGATTTGCTTGAAATTAAATGATTCATCAGCCACTCATCACACTTGTAAATAGCCTGGGTAAAAAGAGATGTCATTTGAATGACCCTGACATCAATTTTCTCCACTCCAAGTTATCACCCCACACATTTCTCTACTTTCCCTGCTCAAGTCTAGGCAACTCCCAAGTTCCACGTTAGGAACAGGGGTTGGGTTTGACTACAAAGCAATGCTGAAGTGTTTTCTTTCCACGCAATTAAAGAATTGTTTCAAATGACAATTTTGGAACACAGCTGCCCTCAACCTAACTCTACATACCCTTTAGTTTTTTGTTTTTGAGACAGGATCTCGCTATGCAGTTCAGGCTGGCCTTGAACTACATAGCCTACTAGACAGGTGTGGTGGCACACACCAGTAATCTCAGCTCTTGGGAGGCTGAGAGGATTCCAGCAATTTCATGGTGAATTCAAGGTCAGCCTGAAATACAGAGACCATCTCAAAATACTAAACTATGGAGCCCAAGCTGACCCTGAATTTATGGGAATCCTCCTACCTCAGCCTCCTGAGTGCTGGGAATGCAGGCAGATACCATGCACAGCTACCCTCTTCTTTTTTTTTGAACTATGGCAGAGGAGGAAAAGAGGATCACTAGAAAGGGAGCAGGGAGAAGTGCAGAATTCCATGTTTTTGTTAATGTGAATAATCACCCCTCAGAATTCCTCCAAATTGTGGGAAGGGCTGGCTACTGAATAAGCGTGTAACACACTGGCCCTGACAACTGACATTCTTCTTAGGGCCTTCAGGGAACCCTAGAGCACCAGGTTTCCCGGAAAATAAGACTTAGCAAGAATTTTGAAAAGCCAGCCCCAATGTATCTTTGCCTTGCTTGCTATGAGAGTAGCCACTGAGCAAGAGTTAAGTATGATCTTCTGCAGGACAGCTGGCCATCACCATGGTAACTACCAGCTAAGTAGCTTGTCTATGTTCCAGTTGTCTTGTTTTCAAGGAAACATGGTACCAGCCTCAGAAAACCTAAGTGCAGGTGTTAGGCAAGCCTTGGCCTTACGTGGACTGGTGCCTCAGGGAGACAAGGAACACCTTGGAGTCCTGGACTAGTCAACACTAAGGGACCACAGGCATCAGAGGACAATTTCACTGCACCCAGGAAAGTGGCCTGGGGAGTTTGGAAGAACAAGGGAAAAAACTGCAGTTCCACTGACCTGGCAGTACCTGACAGATGGGAGTTGAAGGGCCCTAAGGCCCAGTGGTACAGCCCAACATGCCAAGCAGCACCTGGCTCGGGGCCACCAACCTCTAAGGTGAGACCCTGAGTCCACAGAGAAGAAACTTGGACCCCCAGTGTCTCGTACTGTGGTTAGAACACAAAAGGTGCTCAATAAAAATCTGTCAAATAAAATACTGCAAGCTGGGCTGTGCCAAAGGAGAAAGAGCTCAGGAGGAGCTCTCCCACAGGAGGCGGGAAACTCACCCTTCAGAAGATTATTTTATTAAAACTGGGTGACACCAATAAAGGGGACGATACAAAAATTTTTTTGGTCCATGAAAAAAAACATAATTCAGTTAATAAAAATTTATCTTCAGCAGGGACACTGTAGGAGTGCTGAGCTTCCTCCTGTGGTTCCAGGCAGGAGCCAGCCAGGGCTCAGCAGCCCCAGGGCTGTCCAGTGTCAACTGTGGGAGAACCCTTTGCTGGAGGGTTGGAATCAAGACAGGAAGAGGAAGATGGGGAGAATACTCTGCTGTCCCCAGTGTCACACAGGCAGGGACAAGGGGCAGGGTGACGTGGTCACAGGAGCCTGAGGAGGGGTGGGGAGGCAGCTTTGTCAGTTCTGTGGGTTTAGAGCCCACGATGAGCAGAATCCTGTGCCCAGCTGTCTCCCACCCCGCTGTGTTCAGCCTGCAAGCCTGAGATTTACTAACTCGGGGTGACACAACCTGGAAGAATCTGAGGCTCTCCTGGAAAGATGCAAAACCATCTAAGTTCCAAGGTGCCAAGATCCCCAGGTTCTGCTGCTACCTGAGGGGTCTGAAGCTTTGAGGGCCAGGGCTGGGGAGTCACAATGCAGTGAGGCAGGGACAGGGAAGAGTCACAAACCCAACTCAGAGCTGTTTTGCAGCCCTAGGCGCTTTCACTCCTCAGCGCCCTAGAAGTCACCAGTAAGTATCAATAGGGCAGACAGGGACAGGAAGACAGGGATGGCCCAGGGCTTTACCCGTTTGATTCTAGGCCTGTTTCTCCACTAAGAGGGGAGCAGGGTGGAGTGAGTCACTCCCTCTAGCAGGAAGGAACAGCCTCTGCTGGCAATGGCAATACCCCAGATTAGATCCCTGGGGCTCTGACAGGGAAAGGCAAGATTCCCCCACCCAAATACCGTGGGCTAGGGCAGACAAGAGGGAATCCTACAAAGGGCATCTACAGGGAGTGTGCGGGAGGGAGCAACAGTTCAACAACAAGCTCCAATACTGACATGGACCCCTACAAAGGAGTCAAGAGAAGTACTGAGACCGCAGGCCAAGCCAGAGGGCTGGGGATTGACCTGGGGCTGGTTGGAGCCCAAGACACAGGGTTGGTTCCTTCAGTGCTAGAGGGCAACAAGTGAAGGGAGAGTTTGCTCCAAACCTGCGGAGGAAGGAAACTGGATTCTGTTCAGAAGGGCAAGTGAACTCGCTTACAGAGTGCCCCCAGGCCTGAGTCTAGGAGGAGGGGACACCGGGCTCCCAACTCCTAGGTCTCTGAAGAGCAGGATCAGTGTAGTTGGTCCCCTCGAAGACCACCTGGCCTTAGGCTCAGTCCATTCAGAGCACTGACTACCACTACGGGTCCTCTCTCTAACGCTATCCCAGGGGAGGGCAGAGGCACATGGGAACTTTGTGGGGGGAAAGGAAGCTGGGGTTATGAAGGGATAGGACAGGAGAAGAGGCTAACAGGTGTCTTGTGAGACAGAAACGTGAGACCCTCTTCTTTCTGCTATTGTCCTTGAACCAATAGCAACCCTGGAAGGCCCTAAGCAAGACCAAGGCAGGTGCTATGAGGCAGGCAGCACAGAGCCCAAATAAAGAATCGGTTCAGCCAAATCAGGGCTGTAGGAGAAGCCCTATGTATTCCGGATTCCCAGAGCTTGCTCTAATTCTTGTCGTCTCTGCTGCACCTAAGAAGAAAATAATGGGAGTGGAAGATGAGACCGACCAGAAGTTGGTACCTAACACCACTGACTCGTACCAAGCAGCCACACCCACCACCCTCTGTCAATATCCCCTTGCCCCATGCACCTACCTTGGAGTAGAAGTATCGGCACACAGCCTCCTGAGCCCAAGGCTGGAAGTAGAACTCGGCTCGGCGTTCCTCCTCTGGGTTACCCACCACATCAGTCATGGTCTAAGGGAGGAGGATGGAGGAAAATGCAAGAAAAGAAACTTATTTCCTGCCTTTATATCTGTTGGTCAAATTTTATTCCCCCAAAAGATGTTGAAATTTGAATCCCCCATTATCTGTGAATGCGACCTCATTTGGAAATGGTTTCTGCAGATGATCAAGATGAAGTCATTAGGGTGGACCCTACTCCAAAGCCTGGGACCCTTTCAAAGGGGAAGCATGGACATACAGATAGGTAAGAAGGAAGACAGCAGGAAGACACATGGAGAATGCCATTTACAAGGTCGGGGATGCCTGAGTACCCAAAGCTAGAAGCCTGCAACAGATTCTCCAGCATGGCCCCCAGAAGGAACCAAGCCTGCCGACAGTTTCATTTCAGACTTCCAGCCTCCACCACTGTGAGACAAAGTTCTGTGCTTCAAGTCATGCAGTTTGTGTTGGCCTGCTGCAGGTGTCCCAGCAAACTCATGCAGTACCCAGCTACCGCTGGTCTAAGTCACTGCCTGGTTTGAGAGGCCTTCTGGTGCTTCTTGTCTCTTGTTCCTCTACGCTATTTGTTATTATAGGCACAGCAACCGCAGCCTCAGCCAGAATTGAGCACATTTCACACTACCGTGCCCACGCCTACCTTCTCACCTGAGCTTGCTTACACTGCTTCCCTCTCCGGGAAATAGCTTCAGATCACAAGTTTTCCACGAAGCCTTCCCAGATGAGTACGGCTTCATTGAACTCCCTTCTCCTTTGAATTATCTTATTGGTTCTAGTCAATTCTGGTAATGTCTTACATGCTTTACTACTTTTTAATCATGTTAGCCTGATTTTTCCGAATAGAATGCATGTTGCTTTAAGAGCAGAGATCAGACCTTCCTCTCTCTATTGCTGACAGTAGAAAGCAAAATGATAGTGCTGAGTAAGTACTGAATGGACGTGACCTCTTTCCCTACTTATTGTGGTTTTTCTTTTTTTTCTTTTTGGTTTTTTGAGAAAGGGTCTCACTATGTAGTTGAGACTGACCTGGAACTCACTATGTAGCTCAGGGTGGTCTCAAACTCACAGTGATCCTCCTGCCTCAGCCTCCCGAGTGCTGGGATTACATGTGTGCTCCTCCATGCCCAGCCACTTTTCCTACAATTGTAAAATGGTCCTGAGATGTGCTAAAGGAAAATATGATCTCTCACGTGCCCTTCCAACTCTCTTACCAGTTGTACAAAAATAAAGCAGACCTGTCCCTCAGCTCTAAGTCCCTTTCGACCCTCTGAGGTCTTTTACCTTGAGGTCCCGGCACTGAGACTGAAGCCAGTCATTGATGAAGCCCTGAGGGTCTCTGGCGAAGCTCAGCATGAACTCCCGCTGGGTCTTTAGCTGGTTGATAGTTTCTATTGTCTCATGGATCTAAAAAGAAGGGTATGTACACCATTTTAAACACAGGGGAACACAAAGTTACGGTGGCAGACAGTGCCTGACACCTCCAAGGGCTTCTAGCCCTTGGCATTCTTTCAGCAGGTGACAAACATTTGTTTCTGTCCGCTGACCCATCTAAGGGCAATTTTCCCTTTCATCTCAATCTCACTACGTGGTAAATACTTGGTCTGGGACCAAGGACAGAATCATGTGTACCCAATCTCCAGTCCAGAGTTGATTCTCCAAATTCCAATCAACCTAATGCTTTCTTGACTTCTTGAGACACCTTTAACTCAGTACCTCTGAAACAAAACTCACACCCTTTCTCTAGCAACTATTCCTTCTCTTCCCAGATTTAGTGGATACTAATCTCCACCCAAGCCAGAAACCATGGAGTCACCATCTTGCCTTTCGCCTTCACCCTTATCCAAACCATGGTCAAATCGCTCCATTCCAATGTCATTTCACTCTCATTCCAGTCTATTTATTTCCATCCACACTGTCCATACTTTCTCTCTAGGGTGCTTTAAACAATTTATGTAACACAGATTTTCATTTGTTTTCAAAGTCGTTTCCTTGTCGGGAGCATTTCTACATAAATTTGGGGGGAAATCATTTCCTAATGAAGTATGACTATAGCTGCTGTCTAAGGCCAGGGGTGTCTTGCCCGAGAGCCGGATATGGCAATGGCAGGCTGAAACGTAACTTCATTTCGCCTTAGGTCACAGAAGAGGCCTCAAATGGTCTGTGAAGCTGTGGTGCCCAACGGCAAGGTAGCACCAGGTAAGGACATCCTGGTTCCCTGAGAACCTGGTAGTAATATAGAAGAAAAAGGTTTCACCTGGGGAGGGAGTTCCTTATCAGCTCAGCTCATCCCACCTACTGAGGTTTAAGTGCTCTCCTTTCCATTCTCATCAGCATGGAATTTGCGTCGGCTGAGGATCAGTCACCCAATTCTTCCTCCAATTACTGTGTGTACCCATTAATAGTGGCTAGCTTGGAGAGTCCGTCTTTGCCCACTCTGAGGCACTGACCTCCTGGCCCCCCATATACTTTGTTTTTTTTTTTGAGACAGGGTTTCACTGTGTAGTTCAGACTGCTCTGAAACTGTGTAGCCTAGGCTGGTCTTGAACTCACAGCAATCCTCCTGCCTCAGCCTCCCAAGTGCTGGGATTACAGGCATGCACCACCACGCCCAGCTCCCCCCATGTACTTTGAATTTACAAAAGTCGTTATTGTCTTTTTTTTCTTTAGCTCTTGCCATCCCGTTCCCCATAGTGAAATAGGAAGAAAAGGGCTAAAGGTGTAGGGAAAGTGGGAAGGGTAGGGGAAAGGGAATAAGGGAAAAGAAAAAAATATGAGACGAGGAAAACATGGAAATGAAGCGTTTGTAAATGGGGAGGGGAAGACGGGGTGAAGGGAGGGCAGGGACAAGGGGAAAAAATGAGAACCAAGACCTGTCATGTAAAGGTACAAGATCCCAATAATGAACGTAATTGTACTGTATACCTAGATTATACCAATAAACTCAATAAAAAGAAGAAAAAAAAAGATCTTCAAGCCAGTGTAAATATTTCATAAATATTTGACCATTTGGATATACACCTGCACAGTACCTCACACCTTTCAGCAAGAAAACCACTCAAGAGTAAACACCTGACGCAGCTAACTAGGTACGATCTAGAATCCACTGCGGGTAGTTTAGGTAGAATCTGCTCCGAATATTTGTTTCTCTGAAGTAAAGGCACCACACACTTTGTTCAGTTAAGAAAACCATCCTTACAATACAGGACAATTTTTAATCTTTAAGTAGGGCCAAGAACACTTAGCCACTATTTAGGTTCTGAGTGGCACAGCGACATCCCCAGCTGAGGCCATGATTTCATAGGGCAGAGGTTCCCAAAAATCAGGCTCCTTCCCACCTGCTCTCAGTGTGCTGCTTTGGGCAGGGCAGGATGGCACTCAGGTGAACCAGGTCCCTTTGTCTTTGGCTTCTCTTTCTGATTATTTTCCTTGACGGGTTTCAGGAAGCTATCTTGACACTGAGTGTTAACATTCTCCATACACACATGAATCCTCTGCTTGTTTACAACAATGCCAACAGCATGGTGAATAATACTGCACTGTTCCAGCTTTGCCATGGTAACATTCCTGTAGCTTTCCTTTTTGAACAATACCCATTCCCTTGATGTCTACAGCATCACCCTTTTGTAGATTTGCATGTATGTGGTCAAAGGAGCAACCCCATGTTTTCTAAAAAGCCTAGCGAATAAATGCTGGGTTCCTCTCCTCTTTCCCTTTGTTTGTCATTTCGGCAAATTACTGGAAGATGGCAGTTCTGGCCGAAAGGACTGCCCACACTTCTAAGTTTAGGGCCTTGTATGTCAAATACATCATATGGTTTACCTTCTGGCCTCCTGAGCTTTCTGTCCCAAGATCTGCCCTCTTCCAGCTCACTGCCCATCTTCCCCTAAGTGCGCATTCTAATGTATACAACACCAGTGCCTCCACTGGTGAAGAGCTCCCAATGGGCTCCCTCACTTTATCTGCAGGATAAAGCAGAAAACTAGTTTCCCCTGAATTGGAGCTTTATAATTAGGCTCCTGCTTTCCAACTCAGCTTTCCTTCCCCACACATCCTATCCCTGGCACCTGTACTTTTTCTAGCACACCAAATGGCTTTTGCTTCTTCAACTTGCCAGGGACACTTTCCTCTTTGGAGTTTTACATATGCTGCCTCTCGTTCTGGAATATCTTCCACCTTCCATGCTCCTAGCACAGCTGTCCTTCCTCTCCTACATCCTTCTGGAGTGGCCTGAGGCACTTTCCTGGAAAACCTCCTGGCTCTCCTCTGCATTCCTGGAGCACCCGGCTTTGCCTGTGGGGACTAGGCCTAATGATGACAAGGTAATGATGATGACAGCAGCAACAGTAGCAGGAGTTGGGTTTTGCTGTTTTATGTGCCAGATATTTTCTCCCATCTTTAAGAATGCTGTGTGAGCCAGGCATGGTGACGCACACCTGTAATCCCAGCACTCAGGGGGCTGAGGCAGGAGGATCACTGTGAGTTTGAGACCAGCCTGGGCTACATAGTGAGTTCTAGGTCAGTCTCACTACATAGTGAGACCCTGTCTCAAAAAACAAAACAAAAGAATGCTGTGTGATTTCCAGAACCCTTATAAAAATAGATACAGTAGTTCCTCAGGGTTCACAAACTTAATTTGTAAGGTTCACAAACTTAATTTGTAAGGTTCTGGTTTTTATTTTTGTTTTTTTGTTTTGGTTTGTTTTTTGAGATAGGGTCTTGCTATGTAGCCCAGGCTGGCCTTGAACTGGGGCAATCCTTCTGTCTCAACCTCCTGAGACTACAGCGTGCACCAACACATCCAGCTATGACCTTGATTTGTTCTACGATTTTGGAAAAGATGGCAACCGTGTTTGTCACCCAATGCAGAGTTTGCAAACAAAAGCGAAATTTTGCCAAATGCTTGTTTTTGAAACAAATTATTTGCAAATAAAAGCATTCATGAACCAAGATACCAGTGTATCACAGTCTCTATTTCACAGAAACTGAGGCTCAGGGCTTTAAAAGGTATTCATACATGCGAGTTTGGCTCCAACCAGCACCAAGAACAGTGCCTGACACACACTGGGGGGGTCACTATATCCTGAATGAAAACAAAAGCAAAAGGCAGCCTAGAAGCTGTGATAGGGAACGTGGCACCCAAGCTACCCAGGGCAGAGATCCCTACCTTATTGTCTAAAGTAGCGATCTCCTGCTGGCTAGCAGTAGACAACAGAAAAGAATTCATCTGGGTCTTCAGGGTATCATCCACTTCCACATCAATGTCGTAACAAGCTGTCTTTTTCTGGTCATTTGGGTCAACACTATGGAGAAAATGAAACAATTCTGTAAAAGGGCTGCCCCCCAAAACAAAGTTACACAGAGCCAAAAAGATGGCTCAAAGAAGGGAAAGGAGACTGACAGGAAAAGGCCAAGAACTTTTGGGGGCTGCTGGGGATAGAACTCGGGTCCTTGTGCTTGGGAGGCAGTTGCCAGAACCACTGAGCTAAATCCCCCGGCTCTCCAAAAACTTTTGGATAAAACAGAAATACTCTATCTTCATTGCGGTGGTAGCTATGTGGTATGTATATCAATCACGAGTCATCAAACCATGCTTTAAATGGAACAATACATGAAGTACAAATTCTACCTCAATAAAGTTGATTTTTAAACAGGCAACTGTAAAAATTCAATTTATACAAAAGGAATCCAGTAAAAAGTAATTTTTTTCCTCCTCAAAACCACTACTACAAGGTCTTATGTATTATTTCCCTTTTAAAACTAAAATTAATGTTCAAAATAAAATCAAACAAGACACACACACACACATATATACACATAAAAAGTGGTCTAAATTTAAGCGGAGGAATCTAGTACAGATCTTTTTTTTTTTTTTTTTTTTTAATCCAGGGCCTTTGTACTGAGCTACATTCCTACCCAACCACCTTTTAAAATTTCAAGGTAGGGTTTTGGTAAGTTGCCCAGGCTGGGCACAAACTTCCTACCTTAGCCTCTCAGAATACTGAAATTAGAGATGTGTGCCACTATATCTAGCTATAGACCAACTTTTATGAACCCAATGTATAGGATGCAGGACTTACTACTGGGTAAATGCTGGTTCAAGGCCTAAAGAAAGGCAAGCCTTTACCAGACTTAGATAAAGCAAAAGGAGGACAGGTCAGAATTGTGGTACACACCTATAATCCCAGCACTTAGGAGGCAGAGAGGGAGGATCACTTTGAGTTCAAGGCCAGCCTGGGCTACTAGTGGGTTCAAGGACAAACAGGATTACACATCAAGACCCCGTCTCAAAAAACTAAAAAAAAAGAGGACAGATGCAGTATCCAACAAAGCCATCTGAGGAAGTACCTATATTCAATCCCAGTCTACCTAGAGATACTTTGCTCCATAATTTCTAAACAAAACAGTGAACAGAACCAATAGAGCTGGAGTCTCAGGCTGAAATCATCCAGAGATGGCTGGTGACCCTTCCCATCAGTGGTGAGCTTTTAAATGTCTAAGAACTGACCCACCTGTAAGGGACGGAGCTCTGATGGGCAACTATCTGCTGATTTCTAGCCCCCAACATTCAGTCACCAATCAGGGAGCTGGGAAGAGCTATGCAACAGCACATCACTATGTAACAGTATTTCCATCATCCAGACAAGACTAACCTTGAGTGCAAATATCAGTAAATTGTAGTAACTAGGAAGCAGTAAATTTTAAGTATATGTCTGTCACTCACACTTCTAGTATGATTAATTTAATTATGTTTATATAATTTAAATTAACAACTATGTCTGCTTGTAAAACCCTGAAAGATTGACACTATCTGTGCAAGCTTCAATAAGCCAGCTCTAGCACACTACAGCCTCCTAAACACAGGCTTACCTGATGACGTGATTAATGATAATGGGTTCTGGTGGCATAAGCAAAGCATGGAGCCTTTGAGGGATCTCTGAAAACTTCATACGTTGAGACTCAAAGATCTGTGGGAAGAGGAAAAGCAGCTACAAACTGCCATTTTGAATACACTCAGTACTCTAATAGATTCTAGCAAGAGAATAGGTCTTTTGCTTACCTGCTGGAGGTACTTGTCACAGATGACAAACTCTCGCTCATGAGGGTCCTGGAGCTTATGTGTCTTAATATATTGCCACAGTGCTTGGATAATCACTGGACGAGTCTGGGTGTGGATACCCAGGAGCCGAGCCAGGCGAGGATCTAATTTAAACTGGGGAGGCTGCAGGGAATCAAAGGATGTAGTGCATGAAGCTACCAGGGTGGGTTGATGCAAATTTTGGGGTGTTCAGTATGGCTATGCAATCTTGTCAGCAAACATTAATGTAGTGCTTTTTCTGGGGCAGAAAACTACTAAGAAGAACTCAAGCGATAACTAAGAACTATCATTATAATAAAGTGACAAATTGTTTACAACTAGACTTAACCCCTTAAGTCAGGATGCTGTTGGGACAGGGTGGTGAAAGCTGGACCTGTTCCAGCTGTGCAAATTACCTGGTAATCCAGCATCAGTAGGACAGTACACCGTACATTCACGTCTCCTGGCCGCTTCACCTGGAAGCCATCAGTCTCCTGTGTAGTGGCGGTCCTGTGCCACTACAGAGAGGAAGATGTCAGGGGGTGCTCTCCCAGAGGAAGAGCTGGGGCAGGAGGGAAGAGCTTCTGTAATGGCTGAACATGCAACTTTGATTACTGAGGCTACTGGAGAAGAGCAATAGCATGAGGCATTCCTACAAATTGCATATGGCTTGGGGATTATTGTCTGTGTCTAAGCAGATTAACTTTTAAATTCTGAGTATTTGGAATCATGTTTGAATTAGCCTGAATTTCAAGGAGTAATTTTATCCACAAAATGGGTAATATATATATATGAACAAAAATATAACATAACTCCTGAGTACTTAGGACATGTGAAAGTATTCTAAGACATCTACCTGGATTATCATTTAATTCATAAACATCCATATAAGACAATCATGATTATACCTATTATGCAGATGAGAAAACTAACACTTAGAAGAATGACATAACTTGCCTAAGTCAAACAATTAGAAAGCAGTGGAGATGCAATCTGAGATTTGATTTGTCTGACTCTATGGTTCACATTCTTAGTCACTATTCTCTCTCTCTCCTTTTTTTCCTTTTTTTTTTTTTTGAGACTGGGTCTCACTATGTAGTTGAGACTGACCTGGAACTCACTATGTAGCCCAGGCTGATCTCGCACTTACGGCGATCCTCCTGCCTCAGTCTCCTGAGTGCTAGGATTACAGGTGTGCACTTAGTCACTATTCTCTATTGCTATAATATTAAGTTAAATATATTTATAAATTTCTATTGATGCTATGACTTACTTCCCTTATTAGATGGAAAAGACCTTCCCATGTCTCTCTAGTGATTGAGGTTAAGGGGCTCTGGCTACACTGGTAAAGAAAGGAATAGGTTAAATTCATGTGGAGCACTGGACTGTCATTCTGGTTCTGACTGCTTCCCCAAAAATACTGCTGCTAACCTGGTTTTCAAAACATTGTATGAGTAGGCATTAATAATAGGCTTTCTGGGGCTGGGGATTTAGCTCAGTGGCTCTGGCACCTGCCTCGCAAGTGCAAGGACCCAAATTTGATCTCTGCTACCAAGAAAAAAAAAATAATAGGCTTTCTGGTAATTTGGACTTTTTCTTTTTTTTTTTTGGTTCCAGGGATTGAACTTGGGACCTTACACTTGTGAGGCAGACGGCAGAACCACTGAGCTAACTCCCCAGCCCTGGCCTTTTTTTGGTACCAGGAATCAAACTCAGGACCTGGTGCTTGCGAGGCAGGTGGCACCACTGAGCTAAATCCCCAGCCCCCGGACTATGATTCTAAGGAAGCATGGTCCACAAGCAAGTCCCCATAAAGGTAACCCAGGCAAGTACTAGGATGCTATTAGTCAATTCCTGTAATTATAGCAAATGCCACAGTAAAAAATATGAAGTTTGGGGGTAACTACGTCTAATAAGCAAGATTTAGAGATGGTTTGGCATGTACAAGAGATCTCCACTTGGGCCGGGTATCTGGCTCAGCGGTTCTGCCACCTGCCTCATAAGCACAAGAGCCTGAGTTTGATCCCTGATACCAAAAAAAGAAAAAGACCTCCATTTAGCATTTCCCTAGAAAGTGGGGGCAGTGGCCTGGACACTAAAGTTAAAAATGTAAGACTGGGCCTGGGATTTAACTCAGTGGTTCTGCCGCCTCTCTTGAAAGCACAAGAGATGGAGTTCAATCCCCAGTACCAAAAAAAAAGGGACAAATTAAGATTGCAAACTCTTTGGTCCAACTAAACACAGCTAGTGACACCTGCAGGTCAATGTACAAACTGCAGTGATACAACTGCACCTGGGGTAACTATTTTCTACCTCCCCCTCTCCTAGCTGTTAATTTGGTTCCAAAGTCCACCATCCTCAAGTCATAGCATCAAAGCTTGGAAGACAGAACAACTCACTTCTACAAGATGGTTGTCTGGTCCATACAGGTCTTTGTCCAACTCGATCACCAAGGACTTAAAAAAGGAAGAGAATTTCCTCTTTTGTTTGGTAGCATCATATTTCGACAAGGCTGACTAAAAAGAGAGAGGAAAGATAATGTTAGAACAGGTCTGGAAAAAAAAATCCCCAAAATAAAATTCCTATAAAAAAGGAATGCACAGGGCTGGGGATTTAGCTCAGCGGTGCTGCCAACTGCCTTGAAAGCCCAAGGACCCTAGTTCAATTCCAAATAAAAAAAAAAAAAAAAAGGAATGCACAACAGCAATGGGCAAAAAACTCAAAAATGTCTTCTGAATATCTCTTAGGAGATGGTAAGGCTGGCATCTGTGGGCATCAAACCAGTCATAGTAGAAACCGAATCCTATAGTAGCAGCAGTCTGTAATACAGACAGGTTCACTAACTTATCACTTCATTTCCCTCAAGTTAAGCCAAACTACTGCACATAACAAAGCAAGTTTGAACAGAGAAAAGTCTGACTGTAGAGGGAAAATGAATCACAGGCAATAAGCAGCCAGAACAAAACAGCTTTATTTGAATAGAATGACATGGTCAGCAGATGGACTGGACCTATGTAGAGAAGGAGGCTCTGACACTGAGCCCTCGTTCTCCTGCAAAAATGCATTCAAATTAGCCTGCCTGACAGCAGCTAAAAATAGACAGCCAGAGAGCACAAGGAAATGAAAGAAAGGTGAGCTTCCCCAAGGAGCTCCTTGGGTGGGAAATCTGGGGGCTATCACCTGTCAGCTGATGTTCCCTATAAAGTAACAAAGAGCCTGTTGGAGAAATCTGCCACTTAAACTGTGAGGTATCTCCAAAAAGCCAGGAAGATGGAGATGCCATAACAGGAATCAAGGACTCAAAGAGAGGAAATATGGCCTCAAATGCTAATTGCAAACTCACTTGACTTAAAAAAGATAAAAACCTAACTAAATAATCTGCAGATACTGCTAATTATGGTCAGCAGCACTAAAAGAAAGTAAACAACAAATCAGATCCCAGGACAATAAGATTTTCAGTATGATACCAGCGAGGGCTAAAGCTGTGGGAGCAGATACAAAGGACTATTGTCTTTCTGTGCAGAGAACAGAGTGTCCCTCTCCCTGGTGCACCCAGCCAAGTACCAGTCAGGCTTCTTGCAGACCAGGCAACATTGCTCATTCCCAGAAACTCCCACCCTACATGTTGACCACAGTGGACCTTGAACTCACATCCTCCAGGAGCCGTCCTTCTACCCGAAGCTCCCAGGATGCCACCGTCCCTTCCCCATCCTCGGCATCTGATTTAGCCGGATTGAAAGTGTTAGAAATGAAAATTCGCAGCTTCCGTTTTTGCTGAGGAAGGCAGAAACAGGATTGATGGTGGGGCTCCAGTAGTTTGATGCTAAAGACAAGGGTCTCCCCAAACCCCAAAATTACTCCTAACAGACTGGCTTACTGCCTACCCAGGCCCTCTGGTGGGTGGAAGATTCAATTTAGAAAAGCAGTACAGGCCACTGGCCTGAGTACAAGTGCATACATGGGATGCCAGGTGGACAAAGCCATGCAAGGTGCCAAGTTCCCAAGGTAGCAGAGCAGTTACAGCAAAAACGTGGACAGGGTATATTTTTAGTGCCAGAGACATCAAAAGCCCCTCCCTCTTTGCTGTTCTGTTCTTGGGCTCCTAATGTAATTCTCAGTTCGTAGGTGGAAGGGAGAGATGCAATTTAAATGCCAAGGAGAATTGTGCTGTGCCTTTTGTTTTCTTATCCTAAGTCCAGTGAAGGCTCCCAAGCCTACTTCTTTGGCTCTCTGCCTAGTGCTTTCCTATGTTACCTTGATGGGACGTTTCAAGGCCTCTTGGATATCTAGACGTTTCCTCATGATAGTCTGGTCCAGTTTCCTTTCAAAAGCCAAGAGATCCATATAGGCCTGGGATTCTGGTACCAGTTCACGAATCTTAGGAATGGAAAGATATAGTTGGGATCTACAGTAAGCCACTTCTATTCTCAAACTCACCAAACCTTCAAAAAGACCTATAGCCGGACTCACCCTTTGAGGTAGAATTTTGTCAGCCATCTTCTTTTTCTTTGCACTGTTCAAAATAAATACTGTTATCAGGTCGGGAAAGAACTAGTCAGAACATGAAGATAAGCTGTCAGCACTTCCATTTATAGGAAAGTGGGGGCCTGTAAAGCTTCTCTCAAAGCAAATTCTCTCCCCAGTCACTACAATCACCACCACCACCACCACCACCACCACCAGGCATTCTCAAGGATGAGTCCCCATAGCACCATCTACTAACACAGCACCACCACTCTGGTTCAGGTACTCCCACCAGCTGTGGCCTCATAGGCTTCCCTGCCCCCTCTCTCCTCCCTCTGCCCCCAGGTCATCTTACTTGTGGTTTCGATTTTGGACCGCCTGCTGCTGGACCTGCTGGATCTGCTGAGGTGCAGGTCTCTTGCGGGACTGGTCCATCCCTGACTGGGCCAGGCCAGGTCGGACTGAAGGGTTCCCCCCATAGCCAGGAGGTCCCATGGAAGGTCCCTGAGGTGTCATTCGGCTGCCTGGCAGCATACCTGGTCTCTAGAGGGGAGAGGACCCAGAAATGTCACAGCTTCCCTTGCTAACTCCACCAAGAAAAGGGAAAGGTAAGAGGAACACCTGAGTCCTTTGAATGAAACAAGATTGGAGAAGGTGGGGTGGAGGGCAATGAGAGGCAAGCTCTCGGTCTCTCTGAAATACAGGTAACTGGATGGAGATTGCTCTGTTCCAATCTTGGTCCCCTAGAAAAATAGGGCCCCAAAGCTAAGCGACAACCCAATTATACTCACATTCTGCCCGGTCTATGTTGGGTCTGACTCACTGGACATCTCCTCTAGTCCCACATTCACTCTGCCAGCTACCTCTTTAGACGCTGACCTCAACTGCAGCTACAACCTGGTGTTTTCTGTGAAGACTGGAACTACCCAAACCGTTTTGTGCTCCAAGACCAACTCAAGTCCCACATCATCCAACCTGGGTCTATTACCGACTTCCCGTGGAAACAATGCCTCTGGAAGCAGGTAGGGATGCCAACCGCCTCCCCCTCTCTTCCTTAGAACAGCCTCCCTACGCCCGCACAGGACCAGAACCCCTCCCAGGGGAGTCCCTCCAGCACGCCAGGGCTCTCAGCAGCAGCCAGCGCCCTGACTCAAAGTTACTTACTTTCAAAAGTATTATTTAGTAGATGATCTCTCGGCACACAGACCTTAGGCAGAAGACATCAAAAAGTTACAAGAGAACATGACAGTGAATTCAACGTATCAGATGGGAATGTGTGCTCACGCGCACATAAATAAATGTAATAGTGTTTGGGGAAAGGATCCTTTTTATTCCAGTGATCTGAAACTGGACAGGACAATGAATCTCAGGTAAAATACAAAGCCGGATTACAGTCCAGATCTGTAAAGTTATGAGGGGAGTCTGAGAGGGCTGAATTCAAGTATTCTAAGCTGAAAGATTCTTCATGTCATTTTGCCATCATCGTAGGCAAAAATTTGCCCTACAGAGGAGAAAATGTACCATCCAGATCACATGCAGACAAAATGCCAGTGACTAATTTTGAATAACAGAAGTCATAATAAACAGAGGATGTTAAAGTAAAAGCAAAGCCTTCATCTCCGATGGGATGATGCTTGATTTGAAAGGTTTTTTTTTCACAAAGAACCGGAACCGGAACTCCCCCCGCCCCCTGTACGCCCCCCGAGCGCCGGCGTGTTTGTGCGCTCGGCCGGCTCGGGATGCTCAGGGAAGCGAGACTATGGGCTAGAGGGGGCGACTAGCGGAAAAGGTGTATTGACCACTCCCTCCCGCCTTCGCGGTTCTGGAGGGGAAACCATAGAGATGAGATGTGGGCTAGAGAGGCCCTATGAGCGGCGCCCCCAAGCCGGCGGGAGGACGACAAGGCTTTAGAAAAAGACCAAAGCCCTGGTTCCAACCTCAACCCTGACGAAGAGGAAGCCCCGCGCACTTAACTTTATAAAGCGCTCTGATTGCTTTTCGTTTCCTTCTCTTATTGCGGTAACTCCAGGTGATTGAAGAAGGGTACACACTATTCCATTTTGGAATGGAAAAACTGAATTCAGGAGGCAAATGACTTGGCAAAGGTGAAGCAACAGTAAAGCCAAGTCCTAGATCAGAGGGTCCTGGATCACAGCCCAGGACTCACCCAGAGATAGTGCTTCAGTAACTACTTTCCACAAGAGGAACTTCAACCCAGCTTTAACCTGCTTTCAGATTTTAAGTTACCTTGAATTTTGACTCTGCCTCTCAATTCTTTGTGGTGGGATTTATATTTGGGGATTTTTGTTTCCCTTGACTCCCTCCCTCTCTCCTTGTCCAGTGATCCAAACCACCCCTGATATGATGGTCAGCTTGTTCCATCCCAGAAGGACGAGTGTCTCCCTGCTCAAACTTTTTTACTCCTCCCCTGACTGTATGACACCTCCCAAGCCAAGCTCAGCTCTAGGCATCTCTGGGAATACCTAAATACTATTCGAATAAAAAGAACAACACTGAAGAACAGATGGTTGGAACCCAGTTTATTAGACCAGAGGCATGCGTCACCCAGAGAGAGCCCTGCCTGCTGTTCTCTCAACCAGCACACACTTCTTGGCCTTGCTCCTGCTTCCCTCTGGGGAGGACTGATCTCTGAGGAGCCAAGAGTTCCCAAAGATCCTATAGCCTTATTCTCCACTTCAGGCCAACACACAGGTGACCTGTCCATGGGTCCTGTTCTGGAATTGGAGACCAAAAGACAGGTGGGCAGAGAAGACCTGGAAAGGAGTTGGGGCTCTGGCCTGGGAGGGGTGCCCAGTGGAGGAGGTGGGGCAGGCCCTCTATCTCATGTCTCTCTTTAAGGTAGAGAAGGCCAGAACAACAGAGCTTTCTACTCCTGTAAGCCTAATCTTTCCTCATATGACCAAACCATACCTCACCAGAAAATATAAGTGGTGGGCTTGGGCATCAGGTAAGGAAGAGGGGCTGGGCACCCAGAAAGGCCACTGACTGAGGACTTTAGCATCTGCCTGTGGGCACCCCATGGCCCAGCTGCATAATTCACCAATCCCCAGCTCCCTCTGTCTCTGACATTCTTGACTTAGTGTCCAGCACAGCTCTCTACCCCCTGGGTGGGGGGATACCTCTGTAGCAACCCCTTCCCTAGGGAGGCCACAGTCAGCCAGGCAAAGGGCATTGGGATAGGAGGAGCAGGGGAAGGGAATGTTAAGGCTGCAGGGAAGGCTGAGAAGGTGTCCGGGTTGGGGAGAGAGGGTGAGGCCAGAAAGAGGCAGAGCTTGTGATTCACAGCTTCCTTTATGTCGCCACCGAGACAGTGCGAAGGTTACAATGCGCGTGTCGTCTCCTTGTGCTTCTCAGAGGGATGTGTGTACACAGTACAGACACCAGGGGAGAGAGTCCAATTCTTTATACAGGCGAAGGCATTCAGACAGAGGAGGGGAAGAAACACAGAAGGGGGAACTTGGGCTGCGAGAATGGTTTTCAGAGACAAGAGGGGATGGGGTGGAGACAGACAGGGTTAGAGGAAGGTATATACAGAGATATAGCAATATAGAGTCTGTATCATATAGAAATAGAAAATGCGGATGAGGTTGTCGAAAGAAGCAGATGAAGTTGGGGGAGAGGACTTGGGAAAATTCCATAAGAAAATTTATGGATGTGGCCCTTGCAGAGGGCTCTCTAGGGGAGGGGCCAGTGAGGTCCGGCACCAGTGCCCCTCACCCTGAGCTAGAGCTGACCAGCCAGGTCTTTCTGCAGATGTAGAGGGCTGCTTCTTGAGATTACTCTCCAGGAGCTGGAGTGGGGGTGAACTTGTAGGTATCAGGATGTGGCCTACAGCACCAGGGCCATATCTTGTCCCCATTTCCACTTCTTCAGAGGACTCCCCACCCCCTAGAAATTCCACATGGCGTGAAAGAGTAGGCTGGGGTTTTAGTTCCTGCCCGGAGATTTGGGATTGCGGGGGAGTCACTGGCTGAGAGGATCTCTTAAGGCTGGGGAACACCCCCCACTAGCCCTGCCCCTTAAAATACATTCTCTGGTTTGGGGCCAAATTCCAGACCCCAAGGATTCCCTCCACCCCTCACTGGGAGGGGGCTTTGGTGACTGGTGGCAGCAGAATGTAGGTGGACACTCAGATGACTGACAGCCAGACAGACACAATTCAGGCTGGGAGCTAGGGGAGGCAGCATGGAGCAGAGAGGGGCAGCCTGAGGTCTCTTGCCCCATTCTCTTGTTCAGATTAGTTTTGTTAAAATAAAAAGAATGGGATAGAGGCAGGAGAGGACTCTGTGGTCAAGACTCCTTCCTCACCACAGACAAGAGAAAAGGACTGCCCAGAAGTGCAGGTGAGTCCCCAGGGCTGATGCGGCAGGTAGCTGGGGGCGCCTTGCTCTCCTAGCCCTCCCCGCCTAGGCCTTTGGTACAGCGGCCTGCGGGGCTCAGCAGGTAAAGTCCTCGAACGTGCCTCGGGCCGGATGGTGAGGTAGGATGTTGGCAGCGTACGTCATCCCAGCAGGATGTCCCCGGAGGCTCTCGCACGGGTTCTAGGGGAAGCGCACAGGACAAGGTCTGGTTATGGGAAGGGCCGCGGGCCACGCCTTAGCGCTGGGGAGGCCGAGCAGAGAAGGTGGCTTGAGGGCGGGAGGGGCGGAGCGGCGGCGGGCCCCCTAGCTCACTGGCTCCCTCACGTGTCTTTTGACGTCGTCCAGGCTAAGCGCCACACCCTTGTCCGCGCTGCTCCTCTTGGCCTCCTTCTGGCACTTCCCGCGTCTGCACAGCTTGTGCTTAA